TATATAAATTAAATAATCACATGGATCGTTATCTTGCTCCACTTGACCACTGCCACAGAGCAGACACAAGGTAGTCATTGGGTTTGTACCCCAGACAGTGCTTAGGCTCAGGGAAACCATGGGCATGAACAGAACCACACTGGTGTGGAGTATGCAAAAGAGCTTACATAGAGCAGCAACAAGGTTGGTTTCATATTTTTCTCAAGACAGTATAATATTAAGAACAGAGATAGGAAGGAACAGAGGTGGTTACAAGGCTGTGGCGAGGCATAGCAGGGACTAAGAGGTGAGGAGGCTGCTGGGAGAGATCTACTAACATAGGAGCAAATGTGCTGGGAAGGGCTCGATTCTGAGACTCTGCAAGGTGGGGATCTAGGTGAGAGCAGAAATGCCTATGGGTGAAGAGCAGTGTTTCTGCTGTAGAAAAACAAGAAACATCCCTGCCTCAGAGGAGGGCAACAGGTGTGAGGACACATCTCTTTATTGATTCTTGGTTATCCATTATACACTGAACAGACAACATGAATTAAGCAAATTGCAGTAGCACCTTGGGAGACCAGTGTCCTAGAGCTGACGCAAACACCTTACTGGCCACACTCCTTAAGGAACCACATACAAATAAACTGCATTTAAAAATGCTAAAGTTAGGCAATGTTGCATCCAGCACTTGGCAGCTTCTTCCCCATTGCACAGAGCTGCATTCTCCAGATATTTGCACCCAGCCTGCCACTCCCACAGCCGTCACTCGACAGAGGAAGGAAGCATCATGGCATGCCCTTCTCACTCCAGTTTTAAGCACAGCCTGGGACTGTACCAAACTCATAGCTATAATGAGTCTGCTTTGAGGACAAGAGGACTTTTCCCCTTAACTACTCCATGCACAATTTGCTTACACATCTCCATGACAGTGGGCAGTAGAGGATGGATGACAGCTGAAGTTAACTGGACACATAAAAGAGTGCTCAGCGCAGTCCATGCCACACCATTCCAGAGCCCTCAATCAGGCTGTAGTCTCCTTCATGGCTCGTCCACTCTACAGCCTGACAGTGAAACCCTTCACCAAGAATACCTGTGAACACGTCACCTGTAGAGACTGAGCAGGCTTGTTGGGGTCTCCCAGCACTATTTGTCAGCTTTCCCTGGGGCATGGCTGGGTGTGAGCTTACAGGTTTGGTGTTGATCATGGCAACACTGAGACCTGGAAAATTACTGAGAGGATTCAGGAGGAGCAGGAAAGCCCATCTCACAAACACATGGCTAAGAGGCTGGTGCCATCAAAGGAATATTTATTTATTTGTTTGTTTGTTTGTTTATTAAATTATGGGACAGTTTATTCAGCACCAGGCTTGCTGGTGAAAAATGTCTGAATGGGGAAAAGAGTTCTCACCCAGGAGTCTGTGGGGCTTATTGAGAGCGATTAAAACTAGGTTTGAATGGAGAAGGGGACAAAATGAAACTTGCTAAAGATGAACTTAGGAGCAGCATGCCAGGATTAGGGGTGAGACAAATAGCCCACCTGAAATACATCTCCACCAATGCACACAGAAGGGGCAACAAACAGGAAGAGCTAGAAGACATTCTGTGGGAGCAAATCTATGACTTAGTCATCACTGGAGTGCTGCAATGGATAAGCTCTTTAGGAAGGACAGGCAAGGAAGGAGAGGCAGTGGGGTGGCCTTCTCTATATTAGGGAGTGTTTTGAGGTTGTAGAACTCAATACTAGGAATGATGATATCAAGTTCTTATGGGTAAGGAACAGGGGAAAGGCCAACAAGGCTGACATCCTGGTGGAAGTCTTAGACTGCCCAACCAGGATGAAGAGACATGGTTGGACTAGATGATCTTCACAGTCACTTCCAACCATGATTCTCTGATTCTGTTATTCTCAAAATACCCACTTCTAGTAGCCATGTGTGCTCTCCATGTCTTGTCTTTCCTATCGCCCTTACCTACAAAGAGATTATCCCAGATATCTACTATCCAGGCAGCAATGGTCACAAGGCATATTCATCAAGGTTACTCATTTCTTTAAAATGCTGCTTTCTGCAGTGCTTCCTCTCCTTACCCACAAGTCAGCCCATGGCCACAGGTGCATGAAGCCTGTTCCCCATGACAGTGAGCCTTGTTGTGTTGTGCTACAGCAGGTCATGGGTGCTGCCCACTCCCATTGGGTCCACTCGGAGCTTCAGGGCCAACCCACTGCCCTGCAGAGCCATACAGGCGCCATCTCACACCTCGGGAAGCATCTCCGAGGCGCTCAGGATACTTCTCCTACACCACGCTGCCGTTCAGCTTTCCCTCCACTTGCCATCTTCCGTCCCACGTTTAAGGCAGATTTCTGTAACTGTCTCCTTTGTAAAATCCCTCTCTCCTTTAATCTTTTAACTAACGATTTTTCAGTTCCACGCCCCAGCTGCCATCCCACCACCCCACGTTCCCACTCACCGAACCCCCAGAAGGGTTTCGGCCCCCACGGACCGCCGCCTCTCCCGCCCCCCCCCGCCACCGCGGGTCCCCGCCCGCCCCCTGGGCCGGGCCGGGGCGGGGAGGAGGCGGCACCGATCCCGAACCCCGCTCGGCCGCGACGGCGGGGCGCAGTGGGCAGGGGTAAGTCTCACTCGCCGCCGGCCCCTTCCCCTCCCCGGGCCCCCCTAGTCGCCCTCACCCCCCGTACCCCGATAAGAGGTGGGAGGAAGGGAGAACGGCGGGGATGGGGGCAGCGGGGCTCTCCTGGCGGAAGGGGATATGATAGCGCTTTGGGTTGCGATGAGGTACGGGAGGGACCCCTTACCAAACCGCTTAGCACGAAAGCCTTGTGCCTTTCGTTCGTTTTCTCGGGTGGTTTTGCTTACGGGCTGGGCAGCTGCTTTCAGTGCTACGGACCTCGCCTTTCGTGGCCCTAGACAGTGGAGCCGTGTCGGTGTACAGCGAGCCCCGACTTGGGTGGCTTCAGTGGGACCGCTCTGTGGAATGCTTTCCTGGGCTCAGCAGCAATGCTGGCTCCGCTAGAAATGAATTCTTCACATCCAGCGGGGGTCTTAACTTCTTGGTTGAGTCAGGCAGAAGAAAGACACAGAGAGGAGGCAAGTACAAGCACTTGCAGCTGAAACGCTCATGGTAGGAGATGGGTTCACCCTGTCCTGAAGGATGTCTGTGTTGGTGGAATGGGAAGATCAGCTGCCATCTCCTTCAGCCCTCATCCTCTCACAACGACAGGCTGGCATGGGTAGCTTAGTTTGAAGGATGCTTCTATGAAAGGGATTGAGCAATTATCATCTATTAGACAGCTACAAGTGCATACGTTGTGGATATTCTCTTCAGTGGTAAGGTCGAGCAAGGAATATTATTTATAGTGCTGGCATTGCAATGTTCTGTCCTTGCCTTTCGTACCTCTCATGCTGATAGTAAGTTTAGCAATGGGAGCACTAGTAAAAAAAATAAAATAATTACAAAAATCAGATAAAAGGGATTGAATGCCGCAGGACAACCCTGGGACAGCAGCCTTCATATACCTTGAAAAAATTAGCATCCTAAATCAGGAGAAAATCAGCCTCCCGAATCAAAAAAGGGCAGGTTCCTGAGCACAATCACAAGCCCATTGTAAGAAAAAAAAATGCAGACCTTGCTTCATGCATCATTCCATTATTCCATCCCAAATGGCAAGTTGATTTGCTCTTGAGCACAGGAAGTATATCTTCCAGCCAGGCATGGAATACATAGAGCACAATATGGATGAGATGGGGGCTGCACTGAAAAATTTGGCATGCTGAGCAGGGTTGAAGCTGAGCATCATTTGAACAGAAGGCCTGGGATGAGAACACATTGTAGGAGAGGAGTAATTCAGCCTGTGGTGCTCACTGTGAGGCTGCGAGGGTTCAAGAGCCTTCTTGAGCAGTGCAGGTGCAATCTTTGCCAGGCTGCTGAGATCTCAAGTGCATGAAGATACTAAAGAGTTTTGTAATGAGGGAAGAAGGAGAAAGCTTCCCAGGGAAAAGATAGGAGCTCTGAGCTCTCATTTGGGTGAATGCGTTGGGTCTTCTAAGTGCAATGGACTGCTTTGTTTTAGACTGCGCTTATGCCCATCTGGCCTAAGTGGTAGTGTGGTGTGACTTTGGTGCAAGTTGAAACTACTGCCGTTTTCCTCAGCTGTATTGGTTGGTAAGATGAACTGTTTGGATGAACACAGTTGAATATGAAAAGCTGAAAGTTGAATGTGAGTCAGCGGAGTTCCCTGGCAGCCCAAAGGGCCAGCCGTACCCTGGGTTGCAGCAGGCCCAGCACTGCCAGCTGGGCAGGGGGAGGGGTTGTCCCACTCTGCGCTGTGCTAAGTGGCCTCACCTCCTGCCCTGGGTGCAGCTGTGGGTGCCACAGAATGAGACAGATAAGCTATTAGAGAGCATCCAAAGGAGGGCTGTGAAGATGGCGAAGGGTTTGGAGGGCAAGGTGTATCGAGAGCAGCTGATGTCCTGTGGTGTGCTCAGCTGTGTGACAGCGATAGGAACAACATGGAGCTGTGTCAGAGGAGGGGCAGCTGGGGATTAGGGACAGGGCCTGCACCAGAGGGCGGTGGGCATGGAACAGCCTGCCCAGGGCAGTGGGCAAGGCCCCAAACTGACAGAGTTCAAGGAGCATTTGGACAGCACCCTCAGACATAGGGTTTGGATTTGGGGTGGTGCTATGGAGCAGGGGGTTGCACTCCATGATACCTTTGGGGCCCTTCCAACTCGGGATAGTCTATAATTCTATGGTTCTATGATAGGAAATGAAATACTGCATTCTTCTTTTGGCTTAGATTCAATGAAAAATAAACCATGCCAAACTAGACTGTAAAATAAAGCTCTGCCTTTATTTGAGCAGAATAAAGACCTCTAAATTTGACTTTAAGTAGCATCACAAATGAAATATGACTGATAAATACCATCTACCAAAACGTATCATTCTCCAGAATTATCGTATGGCTCAGTTTTCGCTCATCTTTTTCTCTGTGCAGCAGCATCCCCATGGCACTCTTCACAAGAGCCAGCATCCATCTGAACACCACCAGCTCTGTTCCCTGTGGAGCAGGTAACACAACAGAACCTGACCTGCCACGCTCACACGCCTACTATGCCCTCTGTTACTGCATCCTGATTTTGGCTATCATCTTTGGGAATGTGCTGGTCTGCTTAGCTGTGCTGAGGGAGCGCGCCTTGCAAACCACCACAAACTACCTTGTGGTAAGCCTGGCAGTGGCGGACTTGCTGGTGGCTACTTTGGTGATGCCGTGGGTGGTGTACTTGGAGGTGAGTATGTCTTGAAAAAGTGCAGCAGCATTGAACTGAGTACAAGTTAACTGGCATGACCGTGTGCATGGCAATAGGATAGGCAAGCTCTGGGACAGATAAAGCCCATTTGCATTTCAGTCTCCCAGCTAGCTCTGGAGCACTTGCGGTGTGTGTGGTGGCCCATGGGTGGCCCTAGGAGACCATAGTCAAGCTGGATAAGTACACACCACCAGCACATATCCTGAGCCCAATTCTTTCTGGCATAGCTCTTTTAGTTCGAATGGCATCTGGGCTACCTCCAGTGATGTCAGCTTTGGGTCTCAGTGTGCTAACAGCATTAAATTTGGGTGTCCTTGAAGCTGCTGTTACCAGCCAGAGGGTTGCCAGTGGGCACTATGATGGATTAGGAACGACAGGGGGAGGCAAGGGGGTGGAAATTTCTTAAAGGAACTCATCTCAGAGTCCAGATCAATCCCTGCCTGCTGGCAAGAAAACAAAAGAATGGTCAAATCCTCATTTTTTGTGGAGCTTCCGAACCTTAATGTCTGTGATGATAGCTCCAAGTAATATTACCTAAGCAGGCTGACAAAGAGATGAAGCTAAGGATCATGCTCCAAAATCTCTTTAAGTCATGTGAGAGTTTTCACAATAACTTCAAAGGACTCATCAAGCCCTCAGGATCTTATTCCCACTTTCCCAAGTTTTGCACATTGGGCTGGTGTAAATCTGTAGTAGCATGACAGTGAAAATATGAAGAACATTGTCAGATATAGGGTAGTCATGATGAACTCCAAATTCCCCCACAGTGGCAAAATTCTGAATTACTGAAGCCACTCCAGCAGTAAACATTTTTGCTACAGTAAATACAGAAAACACACTACAGCTGGCATTTGTATCTGTTCTCTTTAGCATTTTCATGCTAACTCAAGTAAATTGGTAGATCCAGAAAAATTAGAGTGAATGCCTATGAGCCATAGGCTTTCAGCTGTGCCCTGTCAGCCCTGTTCCCATGATAACAGAGACAGAACAAGCCTCTGAGCTATGATCTCTACAAAGTCTTGTGCTCCTTCTCTAAGGGGCAAGGTGGGATCAGGCCAGAGGGTGGGTAGAGCATTCTGGTGACGGCTGCCCACCTTTGGCTGACCTCCTTCCCACAAAGCAAAGCAGCAGCAGAGAGGGATTTTAGCTTGTGTATATGGGCTATACAGTGCATGAAGAGAAAGTAGGACAATACAGGACAACTCCAGCGAATGCCAAACCAGCTGTGCATGTGCAAGGATATCTGATCAAGCAGCAGTGGAATGGCAGTGGTCTGCAGCCCTTGTCTGTCAACAGGGCACTTTGAATAGCCAGCAGATCTCTAAAGTTTGGCACTGAGTGCAGGCATTTCCCTTATGTTAAACCAAGCCTCTCCCAAACTGTATCTGTTGCAGTATCAGCAAGACCACAATTTAGAGAAATTAAGGGTCTGTTCTGTGTACATGCATCATTAATTAGTAAGGGTATTGATGGTTAATTATTTATGTATAGCATCACTGTGGAATGAAAGAACAAAGCATCATAATCCTGCTTGTGTGATCACGTTCCCAATGGAGTTAATAGTGATATTTAGACTAATCTGTGTGGAACAGTCCTGGAGCTGCTCTGCAGGATGTGTGCCCTTCTGTGGTGTTACCTCATAAGGTAGGAAGGGGTGTTGAAGAGATGGAAGCAATAAAGAAGGAAAGAACAATAAAAAGCAAGAAATAAGGAGAAGAAAGACAACCCAATTAAAAAAAATAACTGTGCATTTTGATTACACCTAAAAAGTATTATTAAAATCAAATTTAATTTCAGACTGCTCATACAGGAATATTCCATTACCTCAAACATAATTCCAGTCTCGAAAGAAATCACAATATGCATTGCATTAGAAAAGACTTACCAGTTGCTATTGCTGTGAAGAGTGTGTGCACAGGAGCACATCTGTGGAGCAGCCTCTGCCCCCAGCAGTTTCCCACTTGTCAGCTGGCCTGTCTGAACGCATGCTTTTAGTTTCTCTGGCCATGCAAAAGCGTAAGTGGGATTTCTCAGCTGCAGGGTGCTAATGGCATCCCCAAGAAGAACTTACTCCTAAATACAAAACTCTTTAAGTGATCGTGCTTAGAGGCACAGCTGCTTACAAACCTGACGCAACTTTGTGTTCATGCTTAATTTATTCCTATCCATGCATCATTATTTTAATACAATTTACAGATTCCTTTGTTTATTTTTAGGGATTCAGGAGAGTGATGGATTTGCGTAAGTTTATGAATGCGCAGAAATGGTTTTTAGATTGGAAGACTTCCTAAATTTATAAATACTAATGCTGCAGTTTTGTGGATAAAGCAGGCTGGTCACCATGTAGGACGAGGTGAGAGCCTGACCTGAATGGTCCATAGGGAGCATTAGCTGCTCTGTCTTTGACAGAACCAGGATTTCATCCTGGGCTCTGTTCTCAGTTCTGCTGTACACACACTGAGTGATAATGAGAGATTGTATCGGCTCATCTCTATGAGATTTGCTCTCATCATCTGTAAGAGGAGAATATTATTTAACCATCCACCTCATCCACACAGTTGTGAGGTGACATTCAATTAATACCTGCAATGTGCTTTGAGATTCCTGGATAAAAGACTCCAGAGGGATAAAGAATAGGTGCCCTGCCAGCATATGAAAACCATGGCAAGTTATTGCTTCTGTAACAAAGATGAGTGGAACAAGAAAATAAAGAGCAGGAATAAAATTTGAAAGCATGAACAAGGCCTATAATAAAAAAGCACTTCTTTGTTCAATTCTGGAATAAATTCTGTATTCTCATGTATGTAAACATCAGCTTCTTCACTGACTTCTGTGGGGCTGGCCCTCATTCCAGTTCAGACTGGTGGAAGCTAGAATGGGTTTTAAGCCCAACATTTTGATCTGCCAAGCATCCCCTGAACACAAGCAGCAGCTTAATATACAAGTGATGTGATCTGGATACATCATCCTGAGAGGGTTCACTTCACAGCCGTTCCCACCACCGGCTTCTTCAGTTTTAATGGTCCACATTCCCAGAGCTCCTCTCTGGGCTTTGTGTTCAAATATGCTCAGGACCTTAGAAACTCAATCCATTAAGTGCTTGCACATCTGCTAGGATAGCAGCTGCTGGCTTCATGCAAACACCTGCCAGCAATTCCTGGTGAGATATTCTTCAGACTTCACAGATCTCTCTCTCTCTCTCTCACACACACACACACAAACACTCACACTGCACTGTATTTTGCCTCACACTACAGAAGCACCCTTTTGAAGTGGGCAAGCAGGTCTCAAAATTTGCAGCTAATGAACAAATGATGTAGGATTTCCTATAAAAAAGGAACCTATCTGATCAAGTGTTTGAGGGGCAGCCTTCAGTTTGTATATCTAGTAGCTTTCCAATTGTGCAGAAAATCTCTAAGGTAGGTTTTGTTTTTCTTTTTTCTTTTTGTTTGCTGTTTTTTGAAAAGGAAACAAAGGCGCCCCAACAGCACTAGAAAATTTGTAAGAAAACTGAAGATGAAAGCACAGTTCTCTGCGTTTTGTAGGCTGATTTCCTTTTCTCTCCCATGCACCCATTCAGTGCTAGGGGATCTAATGTTCCTCTGGCAGTTGGTTCAGTGTCTGACTTCTGACATACAGCAGCTGGGCCCAGCAGAGAACACCCTGAAGGCAAAGCTCACCTCAGCAAGTTTCTGTGCTCGTGTGCAGGAGTGGTGGCACAGGAACAGCTGAAAACATGACAGTTTCTCAGTATGATTTCTTGAACAACCTCGAAAAAAAAAAATCCATACAGAGTGCATTAGTGTTGTTTCTTTCTGCAGTGAGCTGCACCCCTCTCAGGTACCAATGCTTGCCAGTGTTGACCCATTGACCTACAAGAAAAAGGCATCCCATGTGGCACCATCTCCAGCCTGTCCTGGTATGAGAATTTTCAAATGTCTAGCTCTTGTCTTAGACATCATCAAAGACATAATAGACATCATAGAATGGCTTAGGTTGGAAAAGGACCTTAAAGATCATCCAGATCCAACTCCCTGCCACAGGCAGGACTGCCACCAACCAGATCAGGCTACCCAGGGCCCCATCCAACCTGGCCTTGAACACCTGCAGGGATCAGACATCCACAACCTCTCTGAGCAATCCGTTCCAGCATCTCATCACCCTCTCCCCATTTCATCTGATATAAATCTCCCAAGAGAGATAGTGATACAATATATTATATATATTATATTATTATAGATACAATAAATGACTTAAGCTAAGATCAGTGATGTAGATGGGGGAGCAGGAGCTGAAGGAGGAGCACACACCCATTCTAAGAAAAGTCGTTTATAAGAAGCTGTTACACCTTTCATGCCTCATCAGCTTTTTTCTATGCTGCATGGCCCCAGGGACCTGACAGGTAGGTTGCTGGCACATATTCACAAGATCACAGGACAATTCTGGGGGCCTCTGGTCCCACTCCAACCTGAGGTAGGGTCAACCATGAGGTCAGAACAGGCTGCTTGGGGCTCTATCCAATTGGTTCTTGAAAACCTCAAAGGATGGAGCCTGAACAGCCTCTCCAGGAAACCTGCTCCACTGCTTCATTACCACTTTGAACCTCTCTTCATTTGGTGAATGCCTGTTGTCTCTTTTTTTTCTTACCACACACAGTAATCTGGCTCCAACTCTATTAATACCTCCCATTAGATACTGAGGGGCTGTTGCTAGGTCCCCACAAAGTCACTTCTCCTCCAGGCTGATCAAGGCCTGTTCCCTCAGCTTCTCACAAGTCCTTCAGCCCCTCAGGACCATCTCAGTGGCCCACTACTGGCCTTAGTCCAGTTCATCAGTATCTTTCCTATTCTGGGCCCCAAAACTACATGCACTACTTCAGATCTTAGCTGTATTCATTCATTAGGCTTATCTGTTTTAGAGCAAGATGCTTCCTTGTTCATCTCCTGCAAGGAGCAGGTGCTTCTTGACCACCTCCCTTTGAGCCAGGCCAGCATTGCAGCCTCGAGGAGAGCTGACCCATGCACAGCAGTGCCACACAGTGTTTGGAGCATGCTGTTGCCAGATGAAAACATCATTGCGAAGATCTCAATACCTGGGCCAAATATTTATTTCTCCATCACAAAGATTGGCCGCAGCTAAGCTTTCCTGATTAAAAGTTCAAAGCAAGCAGAACAAGAACTAGACAAGGTAGTGACCGAAAAAAACCCTTTATCTGAATAGTTTTTTATTCTCATTCAGATCTAATAATCAAAATCTATAACTGAGATAAGAATCCAGATGAGGTTCTAGAGAAGCCTCGGGTCTCAGGTCTCTGCTTCATGCATAAATGCATAAGATTTTCAGCATTTTTCAGTGGCTACAAAAGAACTCCATCAGAACTCCAACAGCTAAGTTGAGGAACACTTTTAGTCCTTAGATTTCCTTGGATAATTCTTAATCAAAGAAGGCATACAGTGATACCATAGTTAATTCAATTTATCATACTAAGCCATAAGAAAATGGACAGCTGCTATCTATTTCTGCACACTGCCTCCTTCTGTAAGAGTAAGTAAAGCAGTTAAATTCAGCTCCTGGATTTTCTGTGACTTATCACGTTATCCAGAACATAACATAGATGCACCAGTTTCACCCTGAGCATCACAGTGAATACAAATTCATCTTGATGTTGAGGTGCTTGGAGGAGAGCACCCTCTTATTCGTAACTTTTTAGAACTTGATGAAGAACAGGGCTGACAGCTTTGTGATTCCTGATGCAGGTGACTGGGGGAGTCTGGACTTTCAGCCGCATGTGTTGCGATGTCTTTGTCACCATGGATGTCATGATGTGCACAGCCAGCATTTTAAACCTCTGTGCCATCAGCATTGACAGGTGAGTACCGGGTACATACAGGAGAATAGCCTGGAGAGGTGTAGGCCACAGATAACCATGTAAAGGATGTGGATGAGGGATCTGCACAGGGAACATCAGCATCCTCAGGAACATAAGCTTTCCATCAAGTCTGTCACTGTCTCTACAGCTATGAATATGGCTTAGCCCACTATGTGCTAGAAGATGTCTACATTTAAGAAAAGGTGGAGATACACAAGCATTATAAATAATAAAGCATTATGTGTTGATAGTCAGCCACATCCTCATTCTTTCTGAAGGTAGAAACCAGAACAATCATCTGGTTCCCACTGAGTAGAGATATTCCCCCCGGAAGATTTACTAAAGGAAGTCCTGCCATATGCGTACGGAGGGGAGAAGATTATTGCTGCATAATCTTCAGCCCTGTCTTGTTTTTCTGTCTTAAAATTTAGCTTTTTCTAGGCAGCAGTGAGAGCTGGGAGCCAAGACCTTGGCACATGTGGTCCAGTTAGGCCCTAAACTTCCTCTTTACAGGGATCAGGAGGGAAAGGAAGAAGCATAACATACTGTACCTTTGTAATTTCTGGTTCAAAGCTAAACTAAAGAGGCAGCTCTCAGCAATGGGCTGGACCAGTGTTTCTCCATAGGAGCATCTTTTCCTGTTTCAGTTCAGTTCTGTCACTGGGTTCTCCTCAAGCCACTCCTGAGCTTTCCAAATCTCAGGCTTGTGGAGCTGTTTTCTAGGGCACCCTGGTACCCAAATGTTTCTGAATACACACTGGTGTGCAATCATCTGGCTGTCCACATGGCCAACACCAGGGAGGGCAGCTGAGGCACAGGAGAATGGGCCACAGTTGCTCCAGAGAGTGCTCCTTCCTAGCAGTGCACATGTAACCCTGGGGGGCTGAGGGGCCCATCTGGTACCACAAATCTTGTAGCTTCATGCCAGCAGTTCTGTGCGTATTTCTCCCCAGTGCTGCCAACTAACTCTGTTTTCCTTTGTTCCTCCCCACAATACCCTGCTTATCATTTCTGCAAACTGCTGATCCATCATCTCTTCTTCTTTCCTCTTCCATCTCTTCATCACTTCTGCCATCACATTCCCTATGTTGCTTTCCTTCCTCCTTTTAAAACTGATGCTTTTCCTCCCGCCATTCTTACCTCTCCTTTTTTTGGAGCTGGTTTGGTTCACAGATACACTGCAGTGGTGAAACCAGTGCAGTACCAGTACAACACTGGGCAGAGCTCCTGCAGGAGGGTCTCTCTCATGATCGTGGTAGTCTGGATGCTGGCATTCGCAGTGTCATGCCCTCTCCTCTTTGGCTTCAATACTACAGGTAAGTGATATCCTGAACAATAGCACACAGGGTGGGGCTGGCAGTGGAGCTGCCTTTTATATGGCCACGTCATTTAGCATGGAACTTGCAGGTTTTTGAAGCTATAGGAAATTTTAGGGAACTGGAAAGAGCATCTCAGGAGATGTCAGGAATGGCAGAAAGGAGAAAGGATCTGAGGAAGAATGGAAATTGAAGTGAGAGAAGCGGGCACAGCTGTTGGCCAGAAGAACAAGCAGATGCTAGATGGTCTGAGGGAGAGCTGGTTTTAATCACCCTTTCGGTGACTGGGTAGGCCTCAATATAATTTGCGATAAAGGAGACTGGAGATGCTTGCGCTCCTTAGACTGCCCTTGTCCCTCAGCCAGCATGTTACCTGCTTTGCCAATACACCAGAGCCTCCTTCCAATAAACTGAAGCAGCTCAGCCATTCCTCTCTCTTTTTTCTCCTCCCCAGGGGATCCCAGTGTCTGTTCAATATCCAATCCTGTTTTCATAATCTACTCCTCTTTGGTATCCTTCTACCTCCCCTTCATGGTGACCCTTCTGCTGTATGTCCGGATTTACCTCGTGCTAAGACAAAGGCAAAAGAAGAGAACCCTCACTCGGCAGTGCAGCTACAACGCCAGCACCAAACCATGTTTTACACACAAAGTAAGATCCACATGAACACAGTAGGAACTGTCAAAAAGGACAGGGCATTTATCATCTCTTCAGAGGGTCAAAGCACAGAATCGAAAGCACAAAGGGATATGACATCTTTTCATCCCATCCTTCATTAATACACCGTGGTATTTGAGTTGTAGAAGCTTTGGTTAAGTCCTTTTTTAGCACTCTAGAAACAAGATATCTCAAGTATATCTCTGCCTCTGGATCCAGGCAACTGGAAAAGAGCACAGCCTCCACCCCCCTGTTCCTTCTGAGCTGTCCTTTCTCTGCCAACAAAGCTGATTTATTCATTTATTGATTTTTACTCTTTGAAATTTCATTCTTGAGGCTTCACAGACTTTAATGACCTAGATCATTAATAAAAAAATCTTTATTCATCACACTTAAAAGTTCAAAATGCTCAAGGGAACCAACACAGTAATTTGAAAGGGATCACCTGGTCACGCAAGCCATGCAAGCCCATTTGTTTTAACCATTTTCTCAGAGTGAAGTACATTAGGAAAGGGTCAGGATGTTTAAGGTATCAGGGCCAATACAGCACAAGAAGTGAGATGTTAGCAGAGCAGGTGGTTCAACTCTTCTTGTTCTCATGCTTCTCCTTGGAGGGATAGAGGCAGAGAGCTGCCACACTATGGTTTATCTTTCAGATAAGTTAAGGCCAGTTCCAATCACTAGATTTTGTGCCATCCCCAGAGGTTAGTCTTAGCACCCAATAAATGATACAGGCTAAGGATAACTCCTACAACTCCTCTCCTCATCCTTTGACCCAATGAACAGATGAGATGGTTCCAAGCTCCTCTGTGGCATCCTCTTTTGCAGGAACACATCAAGAGGAAAACTTTGCCAAACAGATGCCAGGGCCCATTTTCCCCTTGTTTCCAGCTCAAATGCTCAGACCACGAGATGTCTACCAAAAGAAAGTTGCTGACTGCCTTCAGCCTTCGGCAGTACCGCAGCTTCTGCCAAGATAGATCTCTCAGCAAGACACCTGGGACTCCACAACACAACAGGCTGGAAGAGAGGAGAAAGAGTAAGAACCCTGGGCTGGAGGTACAGAGGCTCAGTAATGGGAAAACTGTCAGCTCTCTGAAGCTAGCGCACCAGCAGCCCCGGCTGATCCAGCTTCGGGAGAGGAAGGCTACACAGATGCTGGCTATTGTTCTGGGTGAGTGAGAGCCAGTTCCCCTCATTAACTGAGTACTAACAGGGAAATAAAGCAGCCCTCATCATAACTCTTTAAAACAGCTAAGGCAGTAGTCTTCCCTCCTAAGTTTTGGTCAGTGTCAGCAGGCCACATCTGAAGTATTGTGCTTATCTGAGTACTGTACTCATTCACATAACTGACTCTGAGGAACCTGAACTCTTGCAAAGTCCCTCTCTATGAGGAATTAATGTCACCTTCTGCATTTACCGAAGGCAGACAGGTGTACCGGGCTGCAGGGAAATACTGAAAGGGTCAGGGATAAGGGCACATGTGTAGCCCTCTTTCCAAATTGTTGATTCTCTCTGAAGTCAGAGTTTGTTTTCTTTCTTTAAACTCAGGGACATTCATAGTCTGCTGGATGCCATTCTTCTTGATTCACATCCTCAACACCCACTGCCTGGCCTGCCACGTGCCCCCAGGGCTATACAGTGCCAGCACCTGGCTTGGTTATGTCAACAGCGCCCTCAATCCCATCATCTACACCACCTTCAACACTGACTTCCGCAGAGCCTTCCTCAAGATCCTCTGCTGCTGATGGAAGGGCCAGCATTTCTGGTTGTTCGGGAATGCACTGAACCTCATCCAAAGCGCAACCTGAATAAGGATTCGTCCTGACTGCTGGAATACCTGTTCTCACAGCACAGCCCTAGGGAGATGGCTTTGATAACATCCCTCTGGTAAGAAATAACTAGCATCTCAGGCCAGCTCATCAGTCCCCTTGTCAACCCAGATGTCAGCATGCAGGCTGGCCCAGTTTCCCACAGCTGTTCTGGAGCAGTACTTCCATGGTCTCCTTTCCCTGTGATATTCCACAAATCCATCTCCCAGTAGTTCCTAGGTCAAAACACCAGATGAGTCCTGCTAGGCCACATCAGCTGGTCTCATGCCAGAGCAGTCTAATGCTCTTCTCCCTGTTCAGAAAAACCCACCCTGGGACAGTCCTGATGTTTCTCCCATTTTCCCCTCTCACTGTACAGGATCCAGAGAGACTCACCAGGGGCACCCCAGCTCTTTCTCCCAAGCCTTGGCTTAGCAGTGCTGTTAGCCACGCTTGTTTGACAGCTTTGGGCATAACTACAAGTTGTCTATGCCTTCTACACCTTGGCTCCTCCATCCAAGCAGTGCTTTCTCTCTTTCCTAATACTGAAGCCAAAGCATTGTCCTTCTCTTGTTTGATGGGTTTTGGGGTGGGACACTAATGGACAGCATGTATAGTTTGCGTGGAGAAATGCTCCTCATCCTGTATTGTAACTGCAGTAATCCAATAAAATACATATCAAATTGGATGTTTTGGTGCTTTTGTGGGACCTGTTTGCCACATTTGCCATAAGCCTTTTCTCACTGGTAGCCCTCTCAGCACTTTCCCTCTGTGAAGCAATCATCCTCCCAGGCATCCACACAAGGTCATTATTAGTGCTTGCCTTTTACTAATACAGAACAAAGCAGGGAAGTGTTTCTCCAGGCCTCAGACAGTGAAGCACTAGTGAAACTGGGAAAGAAATCAATGCCTGTTGTAAACAGCTCCCGCAGACAAATTCTGAAAATGTGGTAAATTCATTTCTCAGCTGTGCTAAACAGGCATGTGGTGGTGTTATTCCATCTGCTTAGAGGTGCTGGAGTGCATAGGAGGTGCTCAGGATATGCTGGGGATAAATCCAGCGAATCAACCTGTGGAGAGATTGTTGCCCCAGTAATTCTCATTAAGATGCTGTCAACACAGACCACCAGAGACCAGCTTTGGTTTCTTTACACAGAGTTGACAGAAAAGTGGAAAACAGGAAACAGATCTTTTAAAGGGTGACTGAGTCCATTTTGGACACTGGCCTAGCATTTCTCAGTTGTTATGTTCAGTCCAATCTTACTTGAATCTGAACCTTTTCCTTAAGCAAAACCCATCACAAAATACACCCACAATCACAGAAATTCAGCTGCAAAATAAAACAGTGACTTTTTCCCTCCCTCAGATACTGCTTGAGTTCTGTGCCTCAGTCTTACCATGGCAATAAGAACACAAGCAGCCTTGCAGGAAAGCCAAGGAGTAGAAGCAAGTGAAAGTGCTGTGACTCCTCACTGTGTGTTGGACTCCTCGCTACTCCAGCATCAGCCCTTGGAAGATGCAGAAGCTCCTCTCCCATGGAGGTAGAGAGGGAGCTTGGAGCCTGCCACAGGCTGCACATAATCCACAGAACTGGGAAGCCTGCACTGCTGCCATGGCACAACAGATACGTGGCACAGCCAGGTACTGTGCAGTCTGTGCCCACCCTCACTGTGCTCCACATGGTAGCAGGGATTGGATACTAAAGGTCTCCTGTGCTAGACACCATTTGTGATCAAGCCAGCAAGCAGAAGAGCCAGAAAGCATCTCTGTGATGGTTTTAAGGAGAGTTAAGAGCCTCTGGAGACAGAAGGGAGCTGGCAAAACCCAAACCCATGGGGAACAACAGCAGTTTGCCCAGTAAGGCAAGAGGAAGACATCCAAGCACTGCCTGTCTAGACATAACTTGGAGCAGTGGCACATGAAAAAATTGATGGAAAAATACCATTTACCCCTTTCTCCACCATTTCTCCTGGCAGACATTAGTCCCAATCCACAAAAGGCTGTGATTAAGCCACTGCAGCCCACATACTGCCATGCCTTGTTCAGGTAGAACCTGTCTTCCATGATGCCTCTCAGTCTGTGACTTCTCCTCAGGCTGCTGTGTGTCAGCCATCATGCTATGCCAGTGCTCATGCTCAGCTACTATGCTCCAGCTGTGGGACATGTCATCTAAACAGTCTCAGATACAGTCATATTTGAAAATAAACCATTGTTCAGGCTACAGTTAGGACAAAACCCTGCAAAGCCTTGCAGGAAATCTCTCTTCCCCACAATGAATGCTCCCTAGACTCCTTAAGGGACAGGCAGGCCAGCTATTCAGCTGCACCTTGCTATGGGTCGAAGCACAAGCAACTCCTGCTTGAGCGAAGAACACCTGGAGACTGCTCTATTTCAGCCTGTAAGGGAATCCAGGGTGGCAACTGCACTCCTATTTTCCTCAAGTTGGTCCACTGCTGACAGCTGGGGTCAGCACAACCACTCAGGCCAGTAGCTACGCTGGCAGGGCAGCCTTACATAAGATAGAGCTTTGTTTAAGCTCAGTGCAAACCAAAGCTCTGCTTCAGACCTGCTACTTATCTGACAGCTTTTGAAAAACCCAGTCAATCACTGCCAGCATTTGGAGGAAGGACCAGTGGGCTGCAGGCTACTAATACTGGTGATACACAGAAAACTAAGAGCAGGAACTGTGGACAGTCAGAGAACCTGTGTGAAGGTCCGCTCTTGATATGATTACAGGCTCTAGCAGCCTGCAAATACTCCTGACCTGTGTGGTGTCACATCTCCCAGGGAGAGAGCAGGAATGCCAGTTCTGCTTCAGACCAATACAAGTATCCCAGATCTGAATTAGCCATCTAGTGAACAACTGAAGTGAACATCTCCTAACAACGACAATTTCTTCAAAGCCAGCTCCTATGACACTGAATAGGAGTTAGAATCATAGAATCACAGAACAAGCTGTGTTAGAAGGGACGCACAAGGATCACTGAGTCCAACTCCTGGCCCCACATAGCAACACCCAAAATCCAAACCCTATGTCTGTGCACAGTGTTCAAGTTCACTCCTTGAACTCCAGCAGCTTGGGGCCATGGCGCCCACTGCCCTGGGCAAGCTGTTCCATGCCCACCACCCTCTGGTGCAGAACCTGTCCCTTAACTCCAGCTGCCCTTTCCCTGGCACAGCTCCATGCTGTTCCCTCGGGCCCTGTCGCTGTCACAGAGAGCAGATCTCAGTGCTGCTCCTCTGCTCCCCTCGTGAGAAGCTGTAGGTCGCCATGGGGCCTCCCCTTAGCCTCTTCTGCTCTGGGTTAAAGAAGACATTTCTCACATCAAACATCACTTTGGTTTCACTCAGTCTCAGCTGCCAGAACCGCAGCCCATCAGCCATGCCTCTCTCCAGTAGGGATGCTCTCCCCCTGGGTCCAGGCAAAGAGTTCTCCTGAGCCTCCCTCATGATTCTGACTGCACATCAGCAAGTCCCATCTTGCTAGGCACTGTTCTCAGCTCTTCCCTAAAATGCCTCTAGAAATGTGAAACAAAGAAACAGAAAACCTCTAGAGTCAAAAAAAGAAAATGAGCAAAATTAAAAATTAATTTCAGAGTAATGATTTAAGCATCTTGGCAAGACAAGCACCAGCCAGCTCTATGCTTGGTGATGTGGGAGAGACCTTTCCGGTTCCCTGCCCTGGGGACTCTTGTCAGTTTTGATAAGTTTTATCCTGCAGCTGTGAGCAATGCTAATCAAACAGCACAATAAGGACTACTTTTCACTGGGCAGAAGCATGCTGGCTATGGGACTGTGTGTCTCTTTGCCACCCTGTGCCTCTGCCAAGGGGCCATGATGTAGGTAGGCTGCTCACCTTGCTTTGCCGCAGCAGAGAGGCAGCAGCATTCCTGTCTGCCCATGAAGGACATGCTGAGGGAGGTGGGCAGACTGTGAGTTCCACAGCATTAACATCTTGTTAGCTGTATCTCTGTGGTGCAACTAACTGTTAGGGTGAGGCCAGCACCACAGAGCCTCAGGTGTGAAGACCACCAGCATCACTCCTCAGCCTTTTGCTTTCTGGTGAGCAGGAGGATAGCAGCCATGGCTGAATTTCCTGAACAAGATGCTCGTTCCTCCTCAAGATGTGCATGAAGCAAAGGATGTGAAAGGCCTCATGCCAGTGTCTTCTGCAGCTCAGTGTTACCAATGCTCTGGATATCATGCACAGCTCCTGCTACTCTCTTTGCTGGCCTTGCCAAGTGCTAATAATCTTGTTTGCCTCTGCTTCATCTCCCACTCCCCCTTCCCTGAAGATTCTGCATCTCTTTGAAGGCTTCAGCTGCCTGCCAGTGTCCTGTGATCTGCCCCCAGCCCAGCTCACCTGGCTCTGCTGAACATCTGCCTTTCCTACAGGTTGGTTTCCCTAGCTGTTTTTCAGCACATAATGACATTAAATGTGACATCATATTGCAAATGGCTCCATTCTGGACTGGGAAGGAAAATATAAAAAAATCTGGGCAGATCTTGGGTGGATAGTGAGCTTTCCCATGATGAGGTGTGGGGCAGCATAGCCATTTTAGAGGCATAAGGTGCTGGCAGGGGCCTTGAAGGATATGCTGCATTGAGAGGTACTAGCAACACTGCTGCATACGTGAAATCCTATGATGATGAGGCAGTGATTCCTGGGGCAATAGGAGAAAGCAATGGGGAAAATCAAGTGATATACCTAAGAGGCATTAAGGAGTTATCTGTTAAGGAAGTGAGGAGACCAGCTGCCCAGCTGAAGTGCCTCTACAGCAGTGCATGCAGTTTGGGAAAAAAAAAACAACCAGGAGGCACTGGAAGCTACTGTGCTACTGGAAAACCATGATATAGTTGTCATCACCGAAATCTGGTGGGATTATTCTCATGACTGGAGTGTGACTATCAATGGCTACAAGCCGTTCAGGAAGGAC